GTTTATTGTTTCTAAGACTTTGGCTGTGCAGGTACCATGTCATGGTTTTTGCCAAGTGAGAGAATACATTCCAAAATTATTTGGTTACTAATTTTTCTTTAAATTGACATTTAAAATTTTGTTTCTTTTTAAATGATACCTGTGCTATTACTATTTTGATGTATCAACTTTTCCCAATACATGTTAAAATAAATACATAGCCATTTTAATTAAAAAAAAAAACACATTTTCCCATATCCCATTTAAATTTGCAAAACCTGTCCAAGTTTCTCTGGTCTCTTCTCGGAGTACTTGTAGAATTGGTCTGTTTGGCTGACACATTAAAAGCTCTATATGGAAAAATTGTTTTTTTCTTCTTTATAGTGGTCTAAATGTCACTAAGTAGATTTAGGAAACCCAACAAGCTGTTTATAATGGTTTTCTTTCTCTACAACAGGACTGCATTTTCCATACCTGATACTGTGGGAAATAAACTTCAGTATTTCTCCTTTTCTTACTTCCTGCCTCTTTGAACCCTGTTACAAGTTGTTTTACCAGTAGTTCTTACATGATTTAGCATGTACCTTTAACCTTAAAAATCATGAGCACTATTCCTTTCTACTCTTTTTTCCCCCTACATTAAGCTGTTCAGGTGCTAGAAGTGGCTTCTAGCATATGAAAAATGCTCAACCTAATTTCTCTTAAGGGACGTGGAAATGATATATATGCCGAGCAGTTTGATCTCTCACTATGTTGGCAGGCGTGCAGGAACAAGGACTTTCATGCGTTGCTGTTAGGACTGTAAATTAATACAAATGCCATGGAGGGCAATTAGTCATTATCCGTCACAATTACAGTATATGCTCTCATTGATCCATTCCTTCCAGGAATTTATCCTCTAGATTTATTCTTTTGCCTATTTAAGGACACACAAGGTTTTTATAGCATGGCTTGAAATGGTAAAAGATTCGAAAGGACATAAACGTCCATCAGTAGGGAACTGGTTAAATAAATTATGGAATATCCAGCCAATAAAATATTAATCAACTATAGAGAAAAATGAGAAAAATTTTCATGTATAGTTATGGAAAGATCTCTGAGATATAAATGGGAAAAAAGTATCTTTAATATGCTTATTATTTGTATAAAAAAGAATATATACGAACACAAACACACACACACACACACACACTTATGTGCATCAGGTAGCTCTGTGAGACTCTACAAAACCTCATAACGTTGGTTGCTTTTGGTGGTGGGGATGGAGATGGAAGTTTTCACCATATACTTCTATGCTTTTTGAATTCTGGATAATGTGTATGTATTATCTATTCAGAAAATAACCTCAAATGTGTCATAAGATTCTTCACTGTGCTTGTATTATAAAAGACATTCTGTACATCTTTGACATTTCTGCTAATCAGGAACTGACCCTTTCTGGGCTTTTTTCTCTCAGATGAATTTTTTTTTTTTTTAAATGAAATACAGGTTGTAAATCTCCTTAGGGATTAATTTCATGTTATTCTTCAAATCCACTACTGTTTTTCATTATTTTTGTGTGGATTTCATTTCTAAGGATAAATCAAAGGCAGATAGAACCACCACTTAGACGAGCTGATACTGTGAGCCAATGACAGAAAGAAGGCAGACTTTTAAAAGTTCTATTTTGTTTCCATTTTATTCAGAAAGGTATTTTCAAACTGCAAAAGGTAAAGAGGCAGTGTTGGTTTCTGTTTTGAGTAATGGCAGACTAGGTAATTGGATCAGTTCTCCCACTGGAGACAATTAGAAAATAATTGTCAGCATGCAAATATTTGCTTGAAGATCCTGGCGAGCTAGCCAAGTAATGAAGAATTAATTACCAGGCTATAATCAAGGTGAGGGCAGAAGTATAAAGATAGAAGTCCAACGATAAGAGTCCATTTTGGGGGCTCCTTTCTCTGATGGCATAACCTGGATTCTTGACTGAGGAACCTGTCAAGGCTGTGAATGTGCCTCTGTGGACTAAAGCAACAAGAAATATTCAGAACCAGAAACAACCAAGTAGGGGAAATTGTGGTGAACTCCCTTTTCTCTAAGTTGGGACTAGGAAAGGCCATGTTCTGGAAGTAAGGGTAAATTAAAAACCGCTATTGCGGGGCGCCTGGGTGGCTCAGTGGGTTAAAGCCTCTGCCTTGGGCTCAGGTCATGATCCCAGGGTCCTGGGATTGAGCCCCACATCGGGCTCTCTGCTCCACAGGGAGCCTGCTTCTTCCTCTCTCTCTGCCTGCCTCTCTGCCTACTTGTGATCTCTGTCTGTCAAATAAATAAATAAAATCTTTAAAAAACAAAACAAAACAGCTATTGCGGGAGTGCAACTCCGTTTCAGAAAAATCTTAAGTTCACGAAATTGAGTTAAGGTGGCCCCAGGCTGCTAGTGTCCCCAAGTATATGAAAGAAGCAAAGGAAAACCTTTGGAGGCTTATTTAGATTTGGCTTCAGATTGTTTCTACAGACAATTTTATGAGAACAGTTTCTGGCACATTTGATTAATAGCCAGATTCCTGGAAGAGAACATGAACAAAAATCAAAAGAAACAATAGACAGTATGAATCAATCCAAAGGGGCAACAGACTGAAACATAATTTGTTATGTTCAAGATAAAAGACGAGTTTGAGAAATTTGGCAAAGAATTAAAATCTATAAAAATTTAACCAAATAGAAATTCTATAATTAAAACCTACAGATGAAAATTTAGAACTCAGTTGATGGGTTTAGCAAAAAGTTTCTATATCTGAAGAGAGAATAGTGAACTGGTCAGAAGAAAAGTCAGAAGAAAATGTCCAATAGGGAATATGTAAAAATGCAGCAATGGGAAATTCAGGAAAGAGGGAAGAGACATGGAAGATATGGTAAAAAGATCTCATATTTATATAATTGGAGTCCTAGAAGATGAGGAGGGCAAGAACGGACAGAAGCAATGCTTGTTGAGATAATAACTGTGAATTTTCCAAAGTTAATAGAATGCACAGATTTAAGAAGCCCAAGCAGGATAAGTACAATGAAATCTACAGTAGATATACATTAAGTTAAACTGCCATAAAACTGGGGCGCCTGGGTGGCTCGGTCAGTTAAGGATCGGACTTGCAGTTTCTGCTCCTGTCACTATCTCCTGGGTTGTGAGGTGGAGCCCAGTTGGCCTCAGGCTCTGCGCTCAGCAGGGAGTCTGCTTGAGACTGTCTCCCTCGTCTTCTGTCCCTCCCCCAGCTCGCACTTGCGTGCTCTGTCTCTCCCTCTTTCAGACAGAACTTTTAAAAAAATTGCTCTAAAAGCAAAGTAAAGAAAAGTAGCCAGAGAAAAATTAGTTTGCCTTCAAAGGAATAGTAATTGGACTGACAGCTGACTTCTACACAGAGCAGTAGAAGCTAGCTCATCTTTAGAATACTGAAAGAAATACCAATATAGAATTTTTTTTTTCCAGGAAAACAGTCTTTAAGAATGAAGATGAAATAAAGATATTTTCAGACAATCAAAAACAGGATTTGTCGCCTGCATACTGGCACTTAAAGGAATAACTGGAATCTTTAGACAGTATCACAATGATCTCAGATGAAGGGAAAATCACAATTTCTACTCACTCACATTAACATAGATGCAAAAAGTCATGAACAGAATGTTAGCAGACTAAATCCAGGAATATATACAACCAAGTTGGGTTTTCTCAGGAATGCAAGGTAGTTTTAACATTCTTTAAAAGTCAGTGTAGGGGCGCCTGGGTGGCTCAGTGGGTTAAAGCCTCTGCCTTCGGCTCAGGTCATGATCTCAGGGTCCTGGGATTGAGCCCCACATCGGGCTCCTTGCTCGGCGGGGAGCCTGCTTCCCCCCTCTCTCTCTGCCTGCTCGTGCTCTCTCTCTCTGTCAAATAAATAAAGAATAAAATAGAAAAAAAAAAAGTCAGTGTAAATCACCATTTTAGTATACTAGTGGATAAAAAATGATCAGTTGAATAGATGCAGAGAAAATGTTTGATGAAATTCAGTCTCCATTTATGATTCAAAACTCATAGCGAAGTAGGAATAAAAGAACAAAAAACCTATAAGGAGCATCAAACTTAATAGTGAGATTGAAAGTTTTCTTCTGGAGATCGGGAATAAGATACGGGAGCCCATTCTCACCACTTAATATTCATCATTTTATTGGATATTCTAGCTAATACAGTTAGCCAAGAAAGAGAATATATGAAAATTAGAAGAGAATCCTGATAAATCTGTTGTTTTCTGGTGATGACTATGTATGTGGAAAATCCAGGAGAATCCACAGATCAGTTATTAGAACTAACAAGTTTGGCCAGTCTGCTGGATACAGAGCCAATATGCAAAATTTCATTGTGTTTATGTATACAAGCTTACCTCAGAGATATTGTAGGTTCAGTTCTAAACCACTGCAATAAAGCAAATATTGCAATAAAGCAAGTGAAGTGCAATTTTTTGGTTTCTCGGTGTGTGTAAAAGTGATGTTTATACTCTATTGTAGTCTTTTAAATGTGCAATATTAGTATGTCTAAAGAAAAGTATAATACCTTAAAAATATTACTAAAAAATGCTCACCGTCAACTGGGCTTTCAGTAGACATATTCAGTGATCATAGATCCCTATAACAAATAATAATAATAATAATGAAAAAGCTTGAAATACTGCAAGAATTTTCAAATGTGACACAGACATGAAGTGAAAAATGCTGTTGGAAAAATGGTGCTGATAGACTTGCTTGACACAGTGTTGCCACAAACCATCAATTTGTCAAAAATGCTCTACCTGCAAAGTGCCGTAATGTGAAGCACAGTAAAATGAAGTAGGTCTGTACTAGCAATGAAGTTAGAAAATATATAAAAATATTATTTACCAGAGAGTAAAGAAAGTTGAAATACCTAGGAATAAATCTCACAAAATATAGGCAAAGCCTTTGTGCAGATTATAATAATAATAATAATTATTATTATTATTTTAAATACCAGGACATTTATTGTGTGATTAATTGTTGAAATCCTTAAGAGGAGCTGGTTGCTGCAACAGCTGTGCTCTTGGCTTTAGGTGATGTTCCTTCACGGACTCCAGGCCTGAATCTGGGGTAGACAATTTTCAGCTGCCTCATTCGACCAGCCCCAGTGGGATTTTGTCTTTTAGCCTTGGCACTCCAGTGATATTTTCTTTTCCTCTTGGCAGGATAGTACATTTGCCACAGGTCTACTTCCAAGGGTGGTAGGGCTTAGAGCCACAGTGGTGGCACAATGTGCATGTCTTATTGCAACACTTTCCAAATGATGTCCTCCCCTTTGTCATCTTGTGTCTGCGGCCAAGACCCTGTAATTATTGAGAGACATGAAAGAATAAATAAATGGAAAATGTATCATATTCTTAAATAGAAAGACTCAATATTTTAAAGATGTCCATTCTCCCCAACTTGATATATAAATAAAATAATCCCAGTAAAAATCCCATGCTGGAGTTTTTGCATGGAAATTTGACATGCTGGTTCTAAAAAATATATAGAGGAATGAAAGGCCATAAATAGCATATATGAAAATACTTGAGCGAATAAGAACAAACTGGAAAGATTTGCTTCATTAGGTATCAAGATTTATTCTGAAGCTTTTATGAAATAGTCTAATAGGCCCTAAGAATAGAATAAAATCCTAGAAACAAAATCTTTGATTTGGAATAAAGATTGTACCGTAGAGCAGTGAGAAAAGAATTCTAAATATTGCTGGGACTATTGAATATCCTAAAAGAAGAGAAGGGAAAGAAAAGAAACTTGGGGCGCCTGGGTGGCTCAGTGGGTTAAAGTCTCTGCCTTCGGCTTGGGTCATGATCCCCAGGGTTCTGGGATCGAGTCCCGCGTCGGGCTCTCTGCGGGGCAGGGAGCCTGCTTCCCTTCCTCTCTCTCTCTGCCTGCCTCTCTGCCTGCTTGTGATCTCTGTCAAATAAATAAATAAATAAAATCTTAATAAGTAAATAAATAAATAAATAAAAAGAAAAGAAACTTGATCCTTACCTCACACACCGTACACACACACACACACACACACACACACAAAATCAGTGCTGTTTGGATTGCATACCAACATGTGAAAGGCAATGTAATAAGCTCCTAAAAGATAATATAGGAGAATATAGTGACCTCAGTGTAGGGGAGGATCTCTCAAAGAGGACATACAAAGGACTAAAAAGGAAAAGAGTGATACATTTTGACTACTTTCAAATGAAGAACTTTGCATCACGATAGGACACCATTAAAAGAGTGAAGGTAAATCACTGTAGGAGCAGGTATTTGTAACGTGTAATTAACAAAAGGTTTGTGTTTAGAACTCCGATAAGTAATAAAAAGACAATCCAGCTTTCAGCTTTGGGCTCAGAAGTGGCCAAGGTGCAACTTTCTTTGGTTGCCCTTAACCTGGATTCATCTGATACCGGCTGCCTGCACGGAGCTGCCTAAATTCAACCCCAATGAAGTCAAAGTCATATACCTGGGGTGCACCAGTGGGGAAGTTGGTGCCCTTTCTGCCCACGCCCCCAAAATTGGCCTCCTGAGTCTTTCTTCCAAAAAGGGTGATGGTGACCTAGCCAAAATAACTGGTGATTGGAAAGGGAGGGCCTGAGGATTACAGTGAAAATGACCATTCAGGATGGATAGGTCCAGACTGAGGTGGTACTTTCTGCCTCTGCCCTCATTATCAAAGCCCTCAAGGAACTGCCAAGCTGTAGAAAGTAGCAGAAAAACATTAAGTACAATGGAAATAACAGTTTTGATGAGATTGTTGACATTGCTGGACAGATGGGGCACCCATCTTTAGTTGGAGAACTCTCTGGAACCATTAAAGAGATCCTTGGACTGCCAGACTGGGCTGTGATATTGAAGGCCGCCACCCTCATGACATCATAGATGACCTCAATAGTGGTACAGCGTGGAATGCCCAACTAGTTGAGGACTACAAAGGAAAATATTTCAGTAAAGGATCATTGGATTTAAAAAAAAAAAATAAAGACACTCCAATAGTAAAATAGGCAAGAGACTGAATAGGTATTTTATAAAAGAAGATTTCCAAATTGTCGAGAAACAAGTCATCAATGATATGCAAGCTAAAGGAGCATACACCAATCAGAATGACCCAAATAAAAATTATTAATATGACCAAGTATTGGAGGGGATACAGAGTAATACGAATGTTCCTCAATACCAGCAGGAGTGTGTATTTGTTACAACCCCTTTAGAAAATAGTTTGGCATTTTCTACCAAGGTTTATTCATATTTTTATGACTCAAACATTCCATTCCTAGGTTTACATACAAAATTAATGCATGTACATGTATACCAAGAAACATGAACAAAAATATAGCAGCATCATTCATAATAGCTAAAAACTAGAATGAACCCAAATTTCGTCAATGGTATATTGATAAATTATGGTATATTCACAGAATATTATATAGCAATGAAAATGAACAAACTTACAACAACATAGTTGAGTCTTTCAAACATAATGTTGAGTGAAAGAAGCTAGTCTTGAAATATTCTGCATTATTTCTCTTTATATAAAATTCAGGCAGAATAAAGTAACACTCTTTAGGAATGCATATTTAGGTTGCCCGACTATAAAGAAAAGCAAGGAAATGATTCCCTAAGTTAGGACAGTGATCATGGAGGAAGGGTAATAATGATTGGCAGTAATGATTGGGAGGGTCATGAATGGGACTTGTAAAGTGCTAGGAATGATCTGTTTCTTGGCTGGGTAGTAGTTTATTTAAGTGGTTGTTTTGTGGTAATTTATTGAGCTGCACATTTTGGGGTCCTTTTCTGTATATGTGTTATATTTCACAATAAAGGTTTGAAGAGCAGTCATTGTGTAATATAGGCATTAAGAGTGCTAGCTTTAGGGGCACGTGGGTGGCTTTCCTTAAGTGTCTGCCTTCAGCTCAGGTCATGATCGCAGGGTCCTGGGATCAAGCCCTACATTGGGCTCCCTGCTCAGCGGGAAGCCTGCTTCTCCCTCTCCCACTCCCATTGCTTGTGTTCCCTCCCTCACTCTCTCTCTCTCTCTCTGTCAAATAAATAAATAAAGTCTGTAAAGAAAAAAAAGTGCTCGCTTTGGACTTGGACTGACTGAACTCCTATCACTTCTGTTTCTGTTTGTTGGCCATCTTGGGCAAGTTACTTGATTTTGCTGAGCTTCAATTTCTTGAATGATAAAAAGGAAGTAATGGTAGTATCGACTTCAATGGTTATGCAGTTCAGTGAGGAATCAAAAAGATGATGCCTAGAAAATGCTTAGAAAGTAACTGACATATAGTGAGGCTCACTAAGGCTCACTAGGTCTTGGCTGTGAAGATGAGCAGAATGAAGATAGGACATCTAATTACTTTAAGTTCAGACTTTTGGATCCAAGCAAGTGCTATCCAGGTCTTTTGGTGAGAGTTCTTGATTACAAGCGATGGAAACTAATGTTGGCTGCCTTAAGCAGAAAATGGATTATTGGAAGAATATAGGAGGCTCACCGCATTGCTGGAAGGCTGAAGAGTAGGCTGGTCCAGAGGCTAAGCAGCAAGAATAATTCGGTGAGGGCTGTTTGGCTGCCACTAGATGCATCCTCTCCCTCCTTTGTACCGCTATTTCCAGTTCTTGGTGGGACTATTTTACGTCATGTGCGTGGTGTCTAACTTCCTGGGTTTAGAAAAGAAGGATCTTCCTTTCTGCCTTCCTTTGTGTACTATTTACGAAGTCAGTCCCCGCCAGGAGAAGGTTGAGTGTTTGAAAGCCAGAAGATCGGAAGGCGACTGCTACATCCAGGATCCTGAAAGAACCTGCAGTTGTAATTCTGTGCTGTCTTTGAGGACTGTCAGGGACTAGAAATGAATCCATGTATCAATTATCCAAAGGGCAAAAGAGATTAGAATCCAGAATCTGTAACCATTAAACTTGAAGCAGCTTCTCAGCAAATTTCTAGAATATGTCACACAGATGGTTTGTGAACAGTTAGTAAGGCAATAAGTGTGGCCAGCATGGGCATCCTAAAAACAAATTTGACCACCTAATGATTTTCTAATCGAGTCCTCTCTGCTCTGTCTCAGATATTACTACTAGGTCCTCATTATCTCTTGTGTGAACTTTGCCAAGGCCTCCCATCTGTCTGGTAAGACCCATCTTACCATCAGCTGCTACAGGATCCTCCAAAAAATGCAAATTTGACTGTCATTTCTTAGCTTAAATTTAAGCTTAAAATTCTTGATCGTCTGTGGGATAAAGGTCCTTCTCAGTCTTTCCTGCTAGACTGAAAGCTTTATGATGCCTAGAACTGTGTCTGCTTTAGTGTATCACCTCCAGTAACTAGTGTGGAGCCAACACTTGTTGGGAATTCATTAAGTATTAAGTTAAATTGATGGAATTTGCGTCTCTTGGCTCAGGGCTCTGCACACACAGAACTTCCTGTACACACGGAATATCCATGGTATTTTATTTGTTTATTTTACTAATGTTTGTTCTTTTTGTTTCTGTGAAGTACTTCTAAGTATTTCCTTTAAATTTTTTTGTGTATAATACAGTATTGCTAAATTGGCACAATATTGTATAGCAGATTTCTAGAACTTACTCATCCTAAATAATTTAGACTTTATACCCATTGATTAGCAATGGGTATTTTCCTCTCCTTGAAGACCCTGACAAACATCATTCTACTCTCTGATTTTATGAGTTTGACTATTTTAGATACCTCCGTAAATGGAATTGTGCAATATTTGTCCTTCTATGACTGCCTTATTTCACTTAGCATAGTGTTCTCAGGGTTCATCCATATTACCACATATTGCAGGATTTCCTTGTCTTAAAAAATATTATAATATTCCATTGTATGTAACTACCACATTTTCTTTATCCATTCATCTGTCAGTGGACAGTTAGGTTGTTATCCCATCTTGGCTATTTTGAGTAGTGCTACACTGAAACATTGGAGGGTTAATATCTCTTTGAGATCCTGATTTAAATTCTTTTGGATGAGTACCTGGAAATGGGATTGGTAGATGATATGGTAATTCTATTTTTAATTTTTTGAGGAATCTTTATACTGTTTTCCGTAGTGGCTATGTCATTTTTCGTTCTCATGTAGGTGCAAGGGTTCCAATTTCTACGCATCCTCTGCAACACTTGTCTGTTTTTATTTTGATATTAGCCATCCTAACAGTGTAAGATGATATCTCATTTTTGTGGTTTTGGTTTGCATTTTCTGATGATTAGTAATAATGATCATCTTTTCTTATGCTTTTTGGCCATTTGGATGTCTTCTTTGGAGAAA